GAGCTCCCCGCGTCCCCTCCGTGGCAGTGTGGGATCTCCGGGTGCCCGAAACTGCTTTCGGGGCCCCCGGCGGCCTGAGGATTCGGGGCTACCGACGGCCGCTGGTCAGCGCTGCCCGCGGCCTCCCGGGCAGGGGCTGGTTGAGCTCTCTTCCTGTGCAGCGGGGGGCGCCCGGCCGGCCGGGACTGCCGGCTCTTCGGTAGGGCCGGCGGGGCACGGCCTTTCCACGGCCGGGGGTAAAGGGCGGCACTCTCCCGACAGCGCCTGTGGTGCTCCTGTCCCGGAGCTCTGCTGTACCTACGCCGCTGTGCCACTGACGGGGCTGCCTTGCGGTATAGGTAAAGCTACAGGAAATGCAGGCCCTGCTGCATTTGATTATGTTTTGATTTTTAAATTTAGATGGGTTATCACATACTGTGGTTGTTTAAAAAAAAAAAGTTTTCAGTGAGAGGTCTGAGAGAGCAGATTTGGAGGATGACTGCGTTTGAGTGGTGAAAATGTTAGCAACTTGTTTTATATAACTATTTAAATTATTCTGCTCATGTATTTTAGTTTCTCCTTGGAACTGAAATAGATTTGTATCTGATACGTGATTTGGGCATAAAAAATTAACTAAAGGTTTATTATTAATCTCTTTTACCAGGTCGTTAGTGCCTAATAAACTGAGAGAACAGATGTGTTGTAAGAAAAGTGGGCAGTGAACTGTACTCATTTAGTGGTAGTTAAACACATGGTACTATAAGGGACTTCGATCTGTCTATGCTGAAACTTTCACAGTGCTGTAGAGAAAAATGTTTTGCTATTTTTTGTATACGCATGCAAGGATTAGAGGATATTACTTCGGGGATATTCTGCATTGGGGCATAATTGTCTGTGATGTATAAACGCTTAAAGGTGCTAATAGTCAACCAGTGACTCTCAATGCAATTCAAGGGTGGCTGTATTTTTGACACACAGTGGAGATTGTCATGGTGCAGGATTGCAAGATACATTCAGCCTTAGCAGTGGGAGGGAAGAGGAAAACCAGAAAAGACTTCTGGTTTTTTTCTGGATATCCTAATTTGCAGCAAAGGTAAAGCAGTGACACCCCAAAGTGGAAACTTTTGCCGTTCAGCTGTTCTGAAAATCCCTTCTCTGAGGTTTTCTGAGGTGAGCAGTGTGTATTTTGTGGCATTCAGTTGTCCAAAATTTGGTGTGTAGGCTGTAGGCCAGGTTTGCTGTTCTTTTAAAATGCAATACATTTCCACACCTATCTCAGAAAATGTGTCTGCATAGCTGTAACAATGGTACCAAATGTAACTTGTCAGACCAAGAGATCCACATTTGATGAACGATAAAATAGGTAAGCATTATTGGCTCTTGAAAAGGAAGAAAAGGATAGGAGAAAAGGTGGAGGAGAATGTGATTATTAGCCACTTTTTCCTTCAGAATAGGAAATCTATACTTAATAAAAAATGACAGTATTTAACTCAGCAAATTCAAAAATCATTTATGTATCTATGTGCACGTGATTAGTCACTGTACACTGGTGTTTGTACATTGCCCTTTAAGGAGTAATAACTGGGTGGTAAAAGTAATATCTATGCACAGCCATTTCAAATATAGCTAGAGTAAAATGTGGAGAGAACACTTTGAAGTCCAGGACAAAAAGTGTGACACGTTGCAGTGTTTGGAGCTGGATTTTGTGAGTCTACAACTGCTGCCAGTTAATGGCTGAAATAGCCTTAAGTTGAAATTTTCTCTGTCTTCTCAGGAAATAATTTTTAAATTGAGAGATTATTCTGTTTGTGATTATAATGGAGATAGTTGCATTGTGCAGATTCCTGCATTAATACCCCATTTTTCAGAGATAATGTTCCTTTATCTTTTCTACAAAACATGGGTGGATTTTGATTTATTAGGAGAGAAATTTCTTAAATTCTATATACTCTTCAAATTCCAGGCTGTTATTTCCTCTCTTAGCTAATTTCTCTCTCTGATTTCTCTGTAGTAGTTACAACTTTCAGACAGTCTCTCTTTTGCTCAGTTTTGTCCCCTGCCCAAAGGCTTTGCAGAAATTTGAGTGGAACTCCCTCATGCTCCCTGTGTTGTAATTGCCATGATGTGTTCAGATAGGAGCAAATTTGTTCCTACTGTCAGTAAGACATGCCCATTAAAATATTGGCAGTTGATTATTTCCTAAGGATATTAACTGTGAAATTTGGCACTTTGCTTTATGTATTTTGTTAATCTGTTTTCTTAAAAGTTACAATTAGAATAAAAGCATTAAGTTAGGCTATAGTTTAAAATAACTTGAAAAGTTTTTTGCTATCATAGAAACTAAAGGTGCAATGCCATTATAATTTTGATAGAAGTAGGTTTTGGTAAATTGAGAGTTTCTACGAGTCTCCTGTAATGTATGTAAGGTCAGAACTAAGAATGTCAGTGTACTTGTGAGAATTTGTGATTTAAATTCCAATTCAGGAGGAATTCCTAATAGCATTTCTAGCTATTAGCAACATTTTTAATAGTGGTTCATTAACTTTGTACAGTATAAATTGAGACCTAGGAGTATTTCTGCTTCCTCTTAGGTGGTAGGCTTTTACAGTAAATCCTTAATTATTAGGGAGTGTGAATTTAGATATCATAGTTGCTGGAAAAACCTGTGCTATATGTACTTTAAAGGTACTGTGTAGCATGCAGCAGATAGTCAGGAGTAGTGTGTAAAGCTGAGGAGTGCTCTTTGCTGACTTTACCAGTTGTTCACAGGTACCTGTTGAGCTTTTGGGAGGTGTCTGTGCTCCCCAGTCCTCCAGCTTCCAACTAATCATAGCAGAACATTTTGAAAGCCTTAAGACAATGTCCAAAATGGTAAATTTGAATTCAAAGAATTGTTGAAAGGTGCTGCTTTCTACATAACGTATTGGAATATGGCACTTGTTTTTCTTAAAAAGTTATTTCCTAGAGTTGCTGTTGGAATGTACTCTTGTGGAATGTCATGTTACTATTCCTTTATGTTTGCATGTAGGCTGCATCATGAGATACCAAAAATACGGTTAAGAAACTCTTAGAAAATTTTATACAGCAGTATTTTGTTTTTCCTTAGAATTCTGCACATTGCTTTTAGGATTTAAGAAGCTCTACTCGGTGTTTTATAGACTGTCACTCAGTTTCAGTATTTGGATGTGTGACTGTCTTTACATGCATTCAGCATTTAGTAGTTACAAGTCTTTGCATGGCAACATTCTGCTGACGGTTATTTTTTATTTTAGTGTTAAAGAGAGAAGTCGACCATGACAACCTTCCTGGAATTTATCCAGCAGAATGAGGACAGAGATGGAGTTAGATTCAGCTGGAATGTTTGGCCTTCAAGT